ATATATATATATATGTGTGTGTGTGTGTATATGTATAAAATTATTGTTTATGGTATGTATAAAATTATTGACTTTTTATGGTTCTATATATAAAAGCGTATGTATACATTTTAAAAATAACATTGGGGGCAACATTTTAAAATTGTACATATATGTATCAAGGTGTGAAAATGCGTATATATATATATATATAAGGCCATATATAGACGTAATAGATAGATTTAAAGTAAAAATAATTTTATATATATATATATGTTGCCAACGTTTTTTTCAAATTTCAAATCTGAGTATGCACTATAATAATGTATATATATATATAATATAAATAGAAATTAACTAATTCTATAGAAAATGCATATATATATATATATATATATATATATATATATATATAGATAGATAGATAGATAGATAGATATATAGATAGATAGATAGATAAAAAAGATAAGTGAATTACAGTTAATGAGATCCAAACAATTTACCTCATACAGATGATCATTTCGTCCATTGGAAAGTAGTTTTCCATGGACTTATCAATGTGAATACATTTACTAAAATTAGTAAATGTATTTGCATTATTAAATCCAGGGAAAAACTAAGACGAAATGATCTTCTGTATTAGGTGAATAGTTTGCATCTCATTAATTGAAATTCACAGACGCACAAAGACACACACACACATACATATATATATATATATGAAAATGTATATGTATATATGCAAAATAAACTAAACATATACGCATATATATATATATATATATGCAAATGGTATTTCCTTCATATATATGTGTGTGTATGTGTGTGTATGTTTCTAGAGAGAGAGAGAGAGAGAGAGAGACTCTTACTAATATTAATCACTCTCCACCCATAAATATAGCAAATTATAAACAATATATATCTATGTATATATCTATCTATCTTTATAGATATGCGTGTGTGTTTGTGTGTTTGTGCGCGCGCGCACGTGCGTTTTTAATAATTTCAGAGACAGGCATACACAGGGCGAGATGGTGTTAGGGAGGGAAATAGTGAATGAAAGAGGGCAAATGCATATTCACAGACACGTGCAACTCCCAAAGGAATGCTTCCTATATATTGCCATGGAAAACACAACAGCCGTTGGGCACATACAAATGTCGTATGTTAGTGTCAGTTTATAGTTATAAAAAAAAAGAAGAAAAAGCGGCTTACATTAGGCTTAACAGTGCTCAGATCCATTGCCTGATCTCCACAAACGTTCAGCAAGTACTGAATGTCAGTGCTGCATTTTTTGTTCCTGCTGAATGTAATTCAATGATATTTATACGTTTTGGTAGGTGCAATCATGTCAGAAGCCATTTAACCAAAGTTAGCTGTTGCAAAAGGCAAAAAGAAATTATAGGTTACTTGTGGGAAGGTACGGACACTACAGATATAATAGAGACTTTCCAAGCGTACCTTAGATGTGGCATAAGGCCAAAAGTAGGGAGCACCCAGTGAGGATCGAGCTCAATACTCAGTAGTAATTGTTCTAGCAAGACAAACTTGCTAACCATTACACCACCTGTAGGTACCCCTACAATATACACAGATAAACATAAAAACAATCTCCGCCGTGTATATATATATATTATCACAAATAATATCTATCTATATCTCTCTCTATATATATATATATATATATATATATATATATATATATATACGATCGCAAGAGCGTAAAAACACAGGTTCGCAAACTCTCATCAATCCACAAATATATATATATATATATATATATATATATATATATATATATATATATATATATATATATATATATGCATATGTAATGACCTGCTTGTTAGCAAATCAAAGCAGAAAAAAGAATCAATTTTCGATATGAGGTTAGCAATGATCTTGCATACTGATTTTCAAGGCAAGCGGATGGGAACTCAGAAAATTGGTCATGTAACAACATGGTATTTACACACACACGCACGCACTTATATATATATATATATATATATATATAATGGGTAAATTGTCGCCACTTCATATTTTTAATTTTGCGCATGCGCGTTGTTTCTTCTTGGTTTTATCGACTGCGCACCATATATAGGGTCATTTTTGCGCCGTCTGTGAGAAAAAGAGCAGCATGATGAAATTCACGGCATGCTGTACCGATTGTCATTAGGGCCGAAAGCACGAATAATATTCATTTCAGAGAGTTTGGGTGTCAATCTGAGGACAGTGCAGAGGATTTGGAAAGAGTCCAATGAGTTCAATGATGATTACGAAGGTACGGCAGCTCGGAAAATTTATTCTGATCGTTCAGAAAAGAACTCCTGATTTTGTGGGTGAGAGCCATGTAGTCAACACAAAAGCCTACATCAAGTGTCGTGTGGAGGTGGTCACTATAGCAACATTAACAAACTTAAAGAAGGAGACCGTCCAAAAGATTTGCAGGAGATTCCGGAGTTGTCTGCAGGCTATGACTGAAGTCAATGGCTATTTTATTGAATAAATATATATATCTTTATCATTGTAAGATATTTTTGTGTAATTTTAGTAAATATACCTGTTAAAATAGAGTTATATTTATTTTTGTTTAGTTTAGACTGCAATCTACAATTTATCCAACGCACTCAATATATATATATATATATATATATATATATAGATAGATAGATAGATAGATAGATAGATAGATAGATAATATTAGTGGTAAATATACACATACATATGCAAAATATATAAATATATACATACATACATTTGTAGATCTGATGAATTGGATCGTATTTACGATTCCAATGGAATAAATTATAACCATGGAATATTAGTGTTTAAAACCTTTTTTTATTATATATATATATATATATATATATATATATATATATATATATATATATATATATAATTTATGTATATATACGAAAAAGTTATCATTCAACACGCTTTCCAAAATCTGACTATATGATCAAAGATAAGAATTATTTTTCTTTATATATTTGTTAGTCACACAAAACACACACTTGTGTGTGCGTAGTGAGGCGCGTTTGTCTTTTTAGTGCGTGTGTGTTTCTGTCCTGCTCTTGTCACGTACTAGAATATTTATTATGAACAGAATTAAAAAGCTAGGGTTAAAATTTTCTGATATATTTTTTCACGACTTCCTTTAAGTGCTCGCAAGTAAATTTTATTTTTATATAATCTTATATTTAAATTGGTCATTATTATTGTTATCATTATTATTGTTATCATTATTATTGTTGTTATTGTTGCTGCTGTTGTTACGACGCCAGTTTCTTGGTCTTTTTCTATTGCGTGCACGCACAACTGATCGAGTATCTTCTTACTTATCTGCGTCTTCCTGCCTGCGTGTCCCGGAATATTTACTATTTACTTGTGTATGCAAGTGGCAGCTTAAGCGTGCAAGATAATTCGCCATTCCTTCTATGTTGCTATATTTTTACCTTTATATATATATATATATATATATATATATATATATATATATATATATATATATATATGTGTGTGTGTGTGTGTGTGTGTGTGTGTGTGTGTTTATATATATACACACACACACATATATAAAGAATATGCATTATATATATATATATATATATATATATATATATGTATGTATGTATGTATGTATATCCGTGCATATGAATTGTATTCCATTGCAACAAATAGTTACAAAAAAACATATAAACGTATATTTATGATTGTTAGTATGCGTATATATATATATATATATATATATATATATATATATATATATATATATATATATATATATGTGTGTGTGTGTGTGTGTGTGTGTGTGTGTGTGTGTGTGTGTGTGTGTGTGTGCTTGCATGGGTGTATATGGATCTAGGTGTTTGAATCAGTGTACTAAAATATATATATTCATACACAAGCACACACGCACTCATCATTAAGTAATTCTAAAGAGATATCCATCAATTCATATACGTATATATGAACCTTTGTACTATACTAAAAGAAACACACACGCTTACATATAAACATATATATATATATATATATATATATATATATATATATATATATGATTGTGCGTATGTGGTAGGTGTGTGCATGGGTGTTTGCGTGGGGTGAGATATGCATGCATATAAACTGAAAGATACAGCCCATATGGCTCTATGAATGAGAATAATACGAACACACACACGCACACACACACGAACGCACACACATACATATATATATATATATATATATATATATATATATAAACACAAAACATATATATATATGCACATGTAATTGTTTCATGAGATGAAGATCCCGTGGCTCACCCTCGCCTGCATATATATTTATATATATATATATATATATATATATATATATATATATATATATATATACCAAAATATAAAACAAAATTTTTAACATAGATTTTTATATATATATATATATATATATATATATATATGTACATGAGAAGACGAAAAACGGTATCGTGAGGCCTTTCATTCAGAATAAAAGTCCTCAGCCAAAACTAAGAATTATGAATTCTTTATATAACAAGACAAAAATAAAAGAAACGTCGGCTTTTAAAATTCAAATTTTCCGATCATATTCAGATTTGAAATATTTCATTGTCATTCTCATCATTTCAGTTGTTGCAATTATTATCTGTGATGTAATGAGATAGGGCTCTATGTCTCTGGACGTCAATTTACCAGTGAAGAATTCGAAAATCGGCCATTTTGGACGTTTTAAATGAATTTCTCTTTTAATTAATAATTATGATTACATCAGGTCATTTATTTACTCATTACTCCACTGTTATCTGTGCATATTTTATTTTTTCATATATATATATATATATATATATATATATATATATAAGTATAGGATTGGTATAGAAGGAATAAATTCCAATAACCAAAAATACTATTCTTAAAAGAGTGCTCAATACAGAGTAGAGCAAATATTATTTATTCAAAAATTATAACATATACATGTTATAACATCACTACAAAAATTGCCATTTTGTT